ACACACATACACACAGTCCTCCAACACACACACACACAGTCCTCCAAAACACACACACAGTCCTCCAAAACACACACAGTCCTCCAACACACACACAGTCCTCCAACACACACACACACACAGTCCTCCAACACACACACACACACAGTCCTCCAGAGCCCTCCAACATGCACAGTCAGCCAGGTCCCACACACACACCCTCCACTGCCCAGTGTAGGAGCACAGTGTTGAGTGGTTTATGGGCTGACCATAATAGCTAAGATAATATATAAGTAACTTAACTGATGAGGCTGAAGTAACATGCTGGGTGTTAAGTCTTGCTCAAGGTTCTCTCACTTCTCCATTGGCCTTCAAGTACACCAGCTGTCACCTGCAACATGCTTAAAGTTGTAATTTACGTAGAATGAAAATTAAACTTGCAACTTCCATCTACCACTACACCACGTGTACTCACTGTCCCCAACTGTTTACATAAACCATTACCTCCACACTAAAACTATAGCATTTTTAGATCTCATGGTGTTGTCCCGACCTCCGTAAAGTGTCATTAATGCAAGAACGAATGTAAGTGTCGTCAAGACCAACACATGTGGTAACTCCAACGAGAACCAGGTCAATAAGGTAAGAAATAAGGGATTCCAACATATGGTGAGAGTCGGTTAGATTAGGTCCGGTTTATGTTTTTATAGGTTTTTTTTTTTTCATTCGCTGAGCCAATATTTTTTTCGGGAAACACCACCAAAAAAATCTATAAAAAACGACCAATTTCCGACGGAAATGGAGGTCATAACCGATCTAAACACAAATACGCTAATATTATTTTGTTTTACTTTCTAATTGTTGTGTGAACATACAAATGGACCTTTTTACACCAGGAGACAACCAAGGAACCTCCAGGTTACGTTACGTTACGTTGTTAGGTTAGTTATGGTGCTTTTTGGTTGTTGACCAATGGGTTTTTCCGGTTGTAAAATCCATGGTTGTCCACTTTTAAAAAATTACCAGGAACCTTAATGTTACGGGATTTAATATATACTGTATTCTGAAACGTCTCGCCCTCTAGCCTAGCCTAGCCTAGCCTAGCCCAGCCCAGCCCCGCCCGGCTCACTACCTCACCTCATCCGGTTCCCTACCCCGCCCCGCCCCGCCCCTGCCCCTGCCCTGCCCTGCCCCTCCCTCCCTCCCCGTCTGCCTCTGCCTCGCCTGCCCCTGCCTGGCCTCACCTCGCCCGGCTCCCCTCCCTCGCCTTGCCTTGCCTTACCTCTGCCCTGCCTCTAGCCCCTGCCCGGGCTCCCTACCTCGCCTCACCCCTGCCCGGCTGGCTCCCCACCTGCCTCACTCCCCGCCTGGCTCCCTTTACCTCGCTCCACCCCCGCCCGGCTCCCCACCTGCCTCACCCCGGCCCGCCCCTACCTCGCCTCACCCCGCCCGGCCCCTACCTCGCCTCACCCCGCCCGGCTCCCTACCTGCCCTCACCCCGCCCGGCTCCCTACCTGCCTCACCCTGCCCGGCCCCTACCTGCCTCACACCCCTGCCCTGGCTCCTCACCTGCCCACCCCGCCCGGCTCCCTACCTGCCTCACCCCCTGCCCGGCTCCCCTACCTCTGCCTCACCCCCGCCCGGCTCCCTACCTGCCCTCACCCCGCCCGGCCCCTACCTCCACCCCGCCCGGCTCCCTACCTCGCTCACCCCGCCCGGCTCCCCACCCGCCCCACCCCGCCCGGCTCCCTACCCTGCCTCACCCCGCCCGGCTCCCTACCCGCCTCATTCCTCCTGGCCCCCTACCCCCCCCACCCCGCCCGGCTCCCCTACCTCGCCTCACCCCCGCCCGGCTCCCCACCTCACCCCTGCCCGGCCCCTCTACCTCCTCCCCTGCCCCGCCCCCACCCCTGCCCCCCTACCTTGCCTCACCCCGCCCGGCTCCCTCCCTCGCCTTGCCTCACCCCGCCTGGCTCCCTCCCTCGCCTCGCCTCACCCCGCCCGGCTCCCTCCCTCGCCTCACCCCGCCCGGCTAGAACCTTTAATAAATTGTTTCAACTCCCAGAAATCGTAACTAAAGAGAAAGCAAAGAACTAGCCAGTAAAAATACATCTTAATTCCGCAAAAAATACTTCTATTTGTGTTAAATCTAGTGAATGCGGCGCAGTTGTCAATGGTGAATACAGTGGTGGTGATGAACTGCGCAGTTGTTGAGTTATGACCACCCGGCTCCCCCATAAGTGTGTTGGGCTTCGAAGCAAGAAATAAAAAATAAATAAAACGGTAATCTAACCCAATCTGGTCATTGTACTCACTTACTGGTTAATTATTACCTAAATACTGATGAACGGTTTACGCTCGTTACTCACTACCGGCTCATAGTTTAGGCTCGTTTGTCATGACTCATTTGGCGGTATATTTGACTAAAACATTAAGAAATTACTGGTTAGACGTTAGAGAGCCACTTAATATAATACTAATGTATTTGTTTAAGCTGCACAGTAGGTACCATGGGCCTTAGAGCCCAGTGAAACGACCCTATGAGGCAATTGAACTGTAACAACCGGCCGGCAAGTTTTGGACTTAAATCAGCATTTATTACGCCATAATTAAGTATATTAAACACTACCCAAAAGAATAACCATTTCTCTTGGCCATTTGGACTGTAGGCAGTCGGGCAAAAAATGTACACGTATATAAAGGAGACTAGAGGAGCGGCGCTTACCTGCCTGTCAGCTGCAGTCAGTGAGTGGCGAGTGGTCGGTGAGGAAAGGGACGAAGGCCAGTTAGTCGAGGCCTTATATGTCAAGGTTCACAGTGACGTCACGAAGCTTCACTGAACCATTTTTTTGCTTCATTGAATCATTTTTTTGCTTCATTGAAGCATTTGAAGCTTCGAACTTGTATATACGTTAAAATACGTAAAAACGTCAAATTTGTGGCCCGATTTAACTTTTCATTAACTTTAAGGGAATAATACAACGAAAACAGTGTCCCAGAAGGAAAAGAAAAGCAAAAACAAAGCAAAACGGCTCTGTGAGCGGCAGTTTTTGGAGTAACTATTATATTTAATCACAGAAAACGGAGCAGATATTTAATCATAGAAAACGGAGCAGGAGTAACTATTATATTTAATCACAAAATGGAGGGGTAACTATTATATTTAATCACAAAATGGAGGGGTAACTATTATATTTAATCACAAAATGGAGGGGTAACTATTATATTTAATCACAAAATGGAGGGGTAACTATTATATTTAATCACACAAGACGGAGCAGGGGTAACTATTATATTTAATCAGTGTTCAGTCGCAGCCAATATATTAAATATTGACCTCATAGATAATTTTTCTATTAAATTTGTTTATATCTTGACAGTCTTGGTCTGTCCTTCACTGTCGACAACAGTATTGAAGTAGTTAGGTTGGTTGGTGATATAGAGATGAACCATTAGCTCTGAGGGTGCAGTACCAGGCCGGTCTCAGTCAGGCCAAGTTATTCTATTTCATGTTTTCTTGGGCCTTTATATGTTAGGGGAGTCCCTCCATGATCCTTGTGTCACTAGAAGGATGATCCCCATCTTTTTTGTTTCTAGTTTTTATTGTGGGTTTTTATTATAGTTTTGGTAATATTGGATATTTTTGTTATTTCTCCTTTATTTCTGCATATATTTCTTTTTTTATTTATTTATTTAGTTTATTTTGTATTTCCTAATTACTAGTTAAAAATAAATAAAAATTTACCAATTGTTCACTCAATTATTTAAATAAATTGTATAAGGATTTAATATTTAAGAGAGAGTCACTTTGGTAAGGGAAACTATGTTAAGTCTTGTTAAGTTTATTTTACTCTCTCCTCTTGGTCACAGATCGTCTTGTTACTTCACACTCTAGTGCCTCTTGAGTTATTCTAAAGGTATAAACTATATTTACTGTGTTATTACCGTACATATGGTGGTCCTCAGTCCACATTCCTGCCACTAGGGTCCAGGTACAGGGTGTATTAATATACCTTCTCAGTGGAAACTTTTCTTTTTTTACACACACTGTACTGTACGTCGCCGCTCTTCAGTGACTACATCACAACACATTCACGTAAATAGTTCTCAGTTAAATCAGTCGTTGTAAACAAGGAAATAAATAACTTTCTCCTATTATAACTGACTTTTAACTCACCCTGTTAAAGCTACATTTATTAACATCAGTTGTAACATTAATGAGGGACATCTGTACTGTACTGTACTGTACATCAGTTGTAACATTAATGAGAGACATCTGTACTGTACTGTACTGTACTGTACATCAGTTGTAACATTAATGAGAGACATCTGTACTGTACTGTACTGTACATCAGTTGTAACATTAATGAGGGACATCTGTACTGTACTGTACTGTACATCAGTTGTACCATTAATGACGGACATCTGTACTGTACTGTACTGTACATCAGTTGTACCATTAATGAGGGACATCTGTACTGTACTGTACATCAGTTGTACCATTAATGAGGGACATCTGTACTGTTCTGTACAGAACTGTACTATACTGCACTGTACTGTTCTCTACTGTACTGTTCTGAACTGTACTGTACTGAACTGTACTATACTGTACTGTACATCAGTTGTAACATTAATGAGGGACATCTGTACTGTACTGAACTGTACTATACTGTACTGTACATCAGTTGTAACATTAATGAGGGACATCTGTACTGTACTGTACTGTACTGAAATGTACTGTACTGTACTGTACTAAAATGTACTGTACTGTACTGAAATGTACTGTACTGTACTGAAATGTACTGTACTGTACTGAAATGTACTGTACTGTACTGTACATCAGTTGTAACATTAATGAGGGACATCTGTACTGTACTGTTCTGTACTGAACTGTACTATACTGCACTGTACTGTTCTCTACTGTACTGTTCTGAACTGTACTGTACTGAACTGTACTATACTGTACTGTACATCAGTTGTAACATTAATGAGGGGCATCTGTACTGTACTATACTGTACTGTACATCAGTTGTAACATTAATGAGGGACATCTGTACTGAACTGTACCGTACTTTTCTGTACTGTACTGTTTTGTACTGTGTTGTGCTGTACTGTACTGTACTGTACTGTTCTGTACTGAACTGTACTATACTGTAGTGTACTGTGCTATACTGTACATCAGTTGTAACATTAATGAGGGACATCTATACTGTACTGTACATCAATTGTAGCATTAATGAGACATCTGTATTGCACATCAGTTGTAGTATTAATGATGGACATCTGTACTGTACTATTCTGTACTGTGCTATACTGTACTATTCTGTACTGTGCTATACTGTACTATTCTGTACTGTGCTATACTGTACTATTCTGTACTGTGCTATACTGTACTGTACATCAGTTGTTGCATTAATGAGACATCTGTACTGTACATCAGTTGTAGTATTAATGATAGACATCTGTACTGTACTGTACATCAGATGTACCATTAATAATGGCGTTACAGCTACATTTATTTCTATAAATTGAAGGGTAAAGTCTACATATCTCCCTTAATATTGATGTAATTGATCTGAAATTCATTATGAGCAAAGAAACCTTAGCTTAAAGTGCCACTTTGTTCAGTGTTCTTATGAATGCAGCAGATGAGAGCTAACAGGCATTAGTCGATCCATAGTTTACCATGATGAGGTGTATCAAGTGAAACAAGTATATGGAGCAAGTAACAACATCACTACATTATAAGATGTTGTAACTGATAGACTAAGGTTAGGATATAAGTACCTCTGGCAGTATGTTCCTCAAGCAGATGTGAACAACACTATATGTAGTGTGTGGCCAGACATATGGCCACACACTCTGGCAGTATGTCCCTCAGGCAGATGTGAACAAGACTAAATGTGAAGTGTGTGGCCAGACATATGGCCACACACTCTGGCAGTATGTCCCTCAGGCAGATGTGAACAACACTAGATGTGAAGTGTGTGGCCAGACATATGGCCACACACTCCAAAACTACATCCTTAAATGTGTGAAAATAGAACCTGAATATTAACCCTCAAGAACAGTACAGAACAGTACAGTATAATATGGATCAGTACAGTATAATATGGGTCAGTACAGAACAGAACAGTACAGTACAGTACAGTACAGAACAGTACAGAACAGAACAGAACAGTACAGAACAGAACAGAACAGTACAGTACAGAACAGTACAGTACAGTACAGTACAGTTGTCCCTCATTAATACTACAACTGACATACAGTACAATACAATACTGTACAGTACTGTATAATATAGATCAGTACAGTACAGGGTTAAAGCTTCACATATAACAAAGACAATGTTGAATCTTGGTCGAACAAACACTAAAACAGTCACCAGGAAAGTGATCTGGACAATAAATACTGACTCCAGTTTACTGTATACGCAATGTAATGAACTAGTGACCCAAATTTATATAAAATACTCGTCTCTATGAGTTATTGGCAGTCACCTTCAACCCTTGCCATCATGTTATTTAATAATATTCTATCTAGAATCATTTCCAGCAATAATTACGGTCATAAAACAGTAAATTATCATAAATATTACCTTGGCTCCTCCCCGGGCGTCGTCCAGACCAATCTAACATTTGGCTCTCAACTCAAAATATAAACCAGCCATGGAATCTTCTGCTCATTAAATTCCATAAATACAAAAACCTATTATTTTAATGCATCTTTACTCATAATGAATTTTAGGGCAATTACAGCAATATTAATTCAAGATATCCACATACAGTATCTGAAGACCAGCCATTACTGTACACATGTTCTACAATATTGGGGTTAAAATAAAATATTCAGCAATAGTTTAAATACTTATATGTCATTCTGTAAGATATTAATGTTTGTGGCACATCATGGCCAAACATAAAGTGTATACAGGCAGTCCCTGAGTTACGACCGTCCGACTTACCATCACCCGCACTTATGAACGGGATCACATTCACTGCAATTTTTTTAATTAAAATCCCAATTTTTTCATTAGTTTATAATTATATATTGTTTAACATCACTTTAATTACATTATTTTTTATATATGGGATATTATTGTTGGGCTTTAACCTAACCTAAACTATGGGTCCAGGAACTTATCCCTGTTGTAAGTTGGGGACAGCCTGTATTAACATAAAACTCTATATTCATGTCCACAAAATTAATTCCATTCTTGTAGCAATCATTTTAAAAAAACCATTGTTAGATAAACACAAGCCAGTACTATTAGGAAAAGTTGTATATAAGAACAGCAAATATCTTAATACTATATGCTAATTTCAACAAGTCTTCTGCTTGACATGATTTAAAAACAAATTTTAACCCAGAGTTTGACATTTCAGCATTGGCTACTTTAAGAAAATGACTGCCCAAGGATGAATTTATATATAACCAAGAAGAGTTACCTAACTAAGGTACAAGATGCTAACTGAACAATATATTAAACATGATATTATATACAGTTAAGAGGTGTTAAAGTTCATCTGCCCCATAACACCAGGTACTATATATGAACCCTAACCATTATTTACCAGACAATGGTACCATATATCTGTAAGTGATGAAAGAATATATTTAAAACATGAATCAAAACTTCCAACCATTTTAGTCAAGATAAAACATCAAAATATCTCGTCAGAGTTGAGCATAACTTATCCAATTTTTACGTACAAAGTTCAAGAGAGATTGAAGAGTTTCCGTGAGATAATGACAACACCTTGACTATAACAAATGGTCTACCATCACTGTACTACTTTACTAAGATGATTTACTACCCGTGTTAATGTACGTACTTGTGATAAAACTTACGTCACGTGTAAATAAAGACAGACGAACACAGTTGACACAACTACTGATGCACAAATTATAGTAAATGAGAGTTCATCAATGTTCAACACAACTTATCCAGTAAAGATGAAATTTTAAAGACATAGATGATAAGTTTAACCTTTGCTTACTACTGTACTGTAAACAACATTATTATTATGAGTGATATTTAACCAACACCAAATGTCTACACTAAGGCCATGGTAGAAGAAATTTACATCTTACGAGCAGATAATTATAACTTGTGCTTAATATCTATAAAAGTGGCATTTGTCACTTATCTTTATTTCTGGTACATTCATAGAGTTTGTTCAAGTGGTTTTATATTGATGTATATCACTGTATTCAAGTTTATGTGTCACATTTACCTTCTGTTAAAGTCATTCAAACATTTATTGAATTCTGTTTTTCTTTTTCATGCACAAGTTTATGACGTTTGAGAGTACCCTTCTGGGAGAAACATTTCCCACATTCCTTACATTCAATATCCTTCACACCATTGTGTTCAAGAATGTGTCTTGAGAGTACTCTTTAGTGCAAAATGTTTCCCACATTCCTCACATTTAAACTGCTTTATACCATTGTGTACAAGAATGTGTGTCTTGAGATTACTCTTCTGGGAGAAACATTTCCCACATTCCTCACATTCAAACTCCTTCACACCATTGTGTCCAAGAATGTGTGTCTTGAGAGTACTCTTTAGTGCAAAATGTTTCCCACATTCCTCACATTTAAACTCCTTTATACCATTGTGTACAAGAATGTGTGTCTTGAGATTACTCTTCTGGGAGAAACATTTCCCACATTCCTCACATTCAAACTCCTTCACACCATTGTGTATAAGAATGTGTTTCATGAGATTACTCTTCCGTGAGAAATATTTCCTACATTCCTCACATTTAAACTTCTTTATACCACTGTGTCCAAGAATGTGTGTTTTGAGATGACCCTTCCAGGAGAAACATTTCCCACATTCCTCACAATCAAACTCCTTCACACCATTGTGTCCAAGAATGTGTGTCTTGAGAGTACTCTTTAGTGCAAAATGTTTCCCACATTCCTCACATTTAAACTTCTTTATACCATTGTGTACAAGAATGTGTGTCTTGAGATTACTCTTCTGGGAGAAACATTTCCCACATTCCTCACATTCAAACTCCTTCACACCATTGTGTATAAGAATGTGTTGCTTGAGATTACTCTTCTGGGAGAAACATTTCCCACATTCCTCACATTCAAACTCCTTTATACCACTGTGTCCAAGAATGTGTGTCCTGAGATTACTCTTCTGGGAAAAATATTTCCCACATTCCTCACATTTAAACTCCTTTATACCACTGTGTCCAAGAATGTGTGTCTTGAGTTGACCCTTCTGGGAAAAATATTTCCCACATTCCTCACATTTCAACTCCTTTATACCATTGTGTACAAGAATATGTGTCTTGAGATTACTCTTCTGGGAGAAACATTTCCCACATTCCTCACATTCAAACTCCTTCACACCATTGTGTATAAGAATGTGTTTCTTGAGATTACTCTTCTCAGAGAAACATTTCCCACATTCCTCACATTCAAACTCCTTTATACCACTGTGTCCAAGAATGTGTGTCTTGAGATGACCCTTATGGGAAAAATATTTCCCACATTCCTCACATTTAAACTTCTTTATACCACTGTGTCCAAGAATGTGTGTCTTGAGATGACCCTTATGGGAAAAATATTTCCCACATTCCTCACATTTAAACTCCTTTATACCACTGTGTCCAAGAATGTGTGTCAGAGATGACCCTTATGGGTCATTCCTCTTCTGAGATTACTCTTCTCAGAGAAACATTTCCCACATTCCTCACATTCAAACTCCTTTATACCACTGTCCAAGAATGCCCTTGAGATACCCCGGGAAAAACATTTCCCACATTCCTCACATTCAAACTCCTTTATACCATTGTGTACAAGAATGTGTGTCTTGAGAGTACTCTTCTGGGAGAAACATTTCCCACATTCCTCACATTCAAACTCCTTCACACCATTGTGTACAAGTAAATGTCTCTGAAGAGCAGACTTGAAGCCAAACTGTTTGCCACATTCCTCACAGGAGAACTTTTTATCTCTGCTTGACATTGTGAACTTCTACTTAGTTACACTTGGTCTTGAGATGTGACATCACAGTATCTGAAACAAAATATTTTGCCTTAGATGATATTCTTATAAAAGTACAATTTATAAATGAAAACTACAAATGACTAAATCAATTTGTGTAAAATAAGAGTAAAAATAAAATAAAATATTATATAAAAAGGTTATATTAATTTACACTGCGAAGATGCCGGAAAACCAGCTTTTTGAAGTGAGACAGATTGTATGACTATGGAAACACAGACGAAGGCAGAGTATTCAACAGTGTGAGTAAAGAAGGATGTACTATAATGGGTTATTATAGTGTGACCCACAGCCACACAGACACAGTTTGGCTGTGTGAGTAAAGAAGGATGTACTATAATGGGTTATTATAGTGTGACCCACATCCACACAGACACAGTTTGGCTGTGTGAGTAAAGAAGGATGTACTATAATGGGTTATTATAGTGTGACCCACATCCACACAGACACAGTTTGGCTGTGTGAGTAAAGAAGGATGTACTATAACGGGTTATTATAGTGTGACCCACATCCACACAGACACAGTTTGGCTGTGTGAGTAAAGAAGGATGTACTATAACGGGTTATTATAGTGACCCACATCCACACACAAACTTAGGCCCAGTATGGGTCAATAGGCCAGCTACAGTTTCCACCATTCTTAACTGTGGGCACCGTGGGCATGACGAGTGTTACGAGCCCACGGCCTTGATGGTGGTACACAGGACGATAAATCCACTTTACTTACTTACTGTATTGTGTCTTAGTTATTACCTTAACACAGCCATATATAATGTTAACTTACCAGGAGGGAGGGAGGAAGGCCCACAAATTAACATTTACTAACAATAATAATCCAGACGGCCACGTTAGTTGTACTGTGTCTTAGTTATTACCTTAACACAGCCATACATAGTGTTAACTTACCACGAGGGAGGGAGGAAGGCCTACAAATTAACATTTACTAACAATAATAATCCAGACGGCCACGTTAGTTGTACTGTGTCTTAGTTATTACCTTAACACAGCCATACATAATGTTAACTTACCAGGAGGGAGGGAGGAAGGCCCACAAATTAACATTTACTAACAATAATAAACCAGACGGCCACGTTAGTTGTACTGTGTCTTAGTTATTACCTTAACACAGCCATACATAATGTTAACTTACCAGGAGGGAGGAGGAAGGCCCACAAATCCAACATTTACTAACAATAATAAACCAGACATTACGTTAGTTGTACTGTGTCTTAGTTATTACCTTAACACAGCCATATACATAATGTTAACTTACCAGGAGAGAGGAGGAGAAGGCCTAAAATTAACATTTGCAACAATAATAAACCAGACGACCACGGACACTGTGTCTTGAATTATTACCTTAACACAGCCATACATAATGTTAACTCACCAGGAGGGAGAGAGGAAGGCCCACAAATTAACATTTACTAACAATAATAAACCAGACGGCCACGTTAGTTGTACTGTGTCTTAGTTATTACCTTAACACAGCCATACATAATGTTAACTCACCAGGAGGGAGGGAGGAAGGCCCACAAATTAACATTTACTAACAATAATAAACCAGACGGCCACGTTAGTTGTACTGTGTCTTAGTTATTACCTTAACACAGCCATACATAATGTTAACTTACCAGGAGGGAGGGAGGAAGGCCCACAAATTAACATTTACTAACAATAATAAACCAGACGACCACATTAGTTGTACTGTGTCTTAGTTATTACCTTAACACAGCCATACATAATGTTAACTTACCAGGAGGGAGGGAGGAAGGCCCACAAATTAACATTTACTAACAATAATAAACCAGACGGCCACGTTAGTTGTACTGTGTCTTAGTTATTACCTTAACACAGCCATACATAATGTTAACTTACCAGGAGGGAGGGAGGAAGGCCCACAAATTAACATTTACTAACAATAATAAACCAGACGGCCACGTTAGTTGTACTGTGTCTTAGTTATTACCTTAACACAGCCATACATAATGTTAACTTACCAGGAGGGAGGGAGGAAGGAAGGCCCACAAATTAACATTTACTAACAATAATAAACCAGACGACCACGTTAGTTGTACTGTGTCTTAGTTATTACCTTAACACAGCCATACATAATGTTAACTTACCAGGAGGGAGGGAGGAAGGCCCACAAATTAACATTTACTAACAATAATAAACCAGACGACCACGTTAGTTGTACTGTGTCTTAGTTATTACCTTAACACAGCCATACATAATGTTAACTCACCAGGAGGGAGGGAGGAAGGCCCACAAATTAACATTTACTAACAATAATAAACCAGACGGCCACGTTAGTTGTACTGTGTCTTAGTTATTACCTTAACACAGCCATACATAATGTTAACTTACCAGGAGGGAGGGAGGAAGGCCCACAAATTAACATTTACTAACAATAATAAACCAGACGGCCACGTTAGTTGTACTGTGTCTTAGTTATTACCTTAACACAGCCATACATAATGTTAACTCACCACGAGGGAGGGAGGAAGGCCCACAAATTAACATTTACTAACAATAATAAACCAGACGGCCACGTTAGTTGTACTGTGTCTTAGTTATTACCTTAACACAGCCATACATAATGTTAACTTACCACGAGGGAGGGAGGAAGGCCCACAAATTAACATTTACTAACAATAATAAACCAGACGGCCACGTTAGTTGTACTGTGTCTTAGTTATTACCTTAACACAGCCATACATAATGTTAACTCACCAGGAGGGAGGGAGGAAGGCCCACAAATTAACATTTACTAACAATAATAAACCAGACGGCCACGTTAGTTGTACTGTGTCTTAGTTATTACCTTAACACAGCCATACATAATGTTAACTTACCAGGAGGGAGGGAAGGAAGGCCCACAAATTAACATTTACTAACAATAATAAACCAGACGACCACGTTAGTTGTACTGTGTCTTAGTTATTACCTTAACACAGCCATACATAATGTTAACTTACCAGGAGGGAGGGAGGAAGGCCCACAAATTAACATTTACTAACAATAATAAACCAGACGACCACGTTAGTTGTACTGTGTCTTAGTTATTACCTTAACACAGCCATACATAATGTTAACTTACCAGGAGGGAGGGAGGAAGGCCCACAAATTAACATTTACTAACAATAATAAACCAGACGACCACGTTAGTTGTACTGTGTCTTAGTTATTACCTTAACACAGCCATACATAATGTTAACTTACCACGAGGGAG